AGCACAAAGGAGGACCACCACCCCTACCCCTGTCGAGAGAAAAGTCAGTGCTAAGAAAAGGCAAGAGCCTTCCACTACTCCTGCCCCAGACGCAGATCTTAGTGATTGGGACACCCCCCTTAGCTAAATAGTTGGCTAGACAACTTCAAATCCCCCAGGGCAGCTCTACCAAGTATGTGTTCTTATCACTTCTTATCTCATACATCACATCAACTTTTACTCATATCTAACTGACTACCTCCTTTTTTGCAGAGAAAAAGGGAGAAGATTACTCATCACTAATGCTGATGATGAAGACACTTCTATTTCTCCACAACACAATCATCCATCTCCTATTCCTTCCACCAATGAACCTAGAGAGTTCATTCTAGAGTCAACTCCACCATGATCTCAAGAACCACCGCTACCTCAAGAATCACCTGTATCACAAACACTTTCACAACCTTTGCCTTAAATCATCCCACAGCTTTCATTAAAACCACCTTCACCACAACCATCTATGCAGCCTTCACCACGACCATCTACACAGCCTGCACCACAACAGCTTTCACATCTAGAGCCTCCTCCTATTGCTCTCAAGGATGTCACACTTGGGCTTTCCCAATGAAGGCCCTTTATCCAGGGGCCACTGAGCTCATTAACTTCCCTTCAGTCTTTACCCCTCAACCATCACCATCCAATTTCTCTAACTCCCAAGCTTCAAACAAACAATCAGAAAGGATTGATACAAGATCTCCTGCTAGCCTTCAATCCTCTCCAAGAAATCACAATACAAGATCTCTTCCATCAGAAGCTCAAAACACCCAAGGTAAATATAAATAAAAATATGACCGTCCATCTTTTCCTTTTTACTTCTTTTAACTAATTGCTCTTCTTTTCCAAACTATAGGGACAAACACAATCCATGACTCATCGCCACTACCAACGACAAAGAGAGCCTGAAGGCCCCCATGACTCATCCCCATTACCAGAACCAAAGAAAGAGCCTGAAGGCCCAGATGCTGCCACTGCCTTTCCTACCCTTGAGATTGATACCTCATTAATACTTGCACCAGCTCCTCCTGCTACCACAACCACAACAGAACAAGGCCAACCTTCTGCAAGCACTTCATCTATAGGACAGGTACTAATATTTCCTACCTTGTCTCCTTTATTTTCTACTATTAACTTACCCATTTTATTACTGTCGGTAGGCCATCACTTTATCCCAGGACATTTAGAAAGAACTCTCCACCCTCCAACAGCATCTTGACTAAATATCCCCACTTTCTTAAAGGCTACATCACTTCCAAACTGAGACCCAACAAACACTTACCACCTTCATCAACCTCATCAACACCCCACTTGAAGAAATCATTCTCCATCAATTTGGTGAAGCCTTGGCCTGTCTCACTGCTGCTCTAAACCTTTCACCCAATCCTTTCAACCCAATTCAATTAAAACAACTGGTCAAAGTCATCACAGAATGGCCAAGTCTTTTGAAAATGGTTCAGCCTTGCTCTAAAGATATACAAACAAAAAGAGATTTTCTAAACAAAGCCTATGCTATATCTACCTCCCTCACACTTAGTCAGCAAACCTCTTCAGCCAATTCTGAACAATGCACAATACTTGAACTTGAAGAATGCAGGCTTATGGCAGAACTTGCCTTTGTCAGGCAAAGAAAACTCCATCTGCAGCAACAACAAGACTAGCTTTATCAAGAAGTAAGGGCAATGTTTTCCGAGATTACACACGATCCTTCTTCAATTCAAACAGTCAAAGCTGAGTTGGACCAAGCCCAAGCCATACTAGTAGATGCCCAATCAGAATAGAGTATTCTGGCCATTCTTTTCCCTAAAACCTAGATTAGTTTTTTTTTTTCTCTGTGTATTGCACAAAACATTTACTATCTTGTAACCCATTGTACAAACATTAATGAATATCAATATTCTGTTTTGAATGGCCTGTTGTACTTTTCTATGAATTAATCAACTCCCTTTGAAAGTTTCCTACATGGTTGGATAATACTCTTTAAGGTATTTTCAATTTATATTCCTTCTATGTGGCTGCCCTTCCAAGGATTCCAATTGATATGCTCCTCTCTTAAGGACTTTATGAACCCTAAAAGGGTCTTCCCAATTTGGTGACCATTTGCCAAATTTGGGGTCCTTTTATCCCTAATGGAAAAATAGTCTTCCACACCAAGTCACCTACTCCAAAGATTTTCAACTTAACTTTCTTGTTATAGACTCTCTCAATCTTTTTCTTTTGGGCCATCATACAATCAAAAGCATCAATTCTTTTGCAATCTACATCCTGTAACTCCATGAACATGGCCTCCACATACTCATCGACAGGAATGTCATAGTGCTTAGTCACCCTACTGGACCTTACTGTCACCCAATGGTAAGACTATAGCATGACCATAAACGAATTCATAAGGGGATGCTTGGATACTATCCCTTTTTGAATTCCTGTAGGCCCACAGAACTTCAGATAAGAACTCATGCCAATCTCTTGGATTGTCTTCTATTACTTTACTCAGTGTCACCTTGATTATTTTGTTTGATGACTCTGCTTGCCTATTTGCTTGGGCATAATATGGAGATGAGTTCAACATTTGAATGCCATACTCTTTGGCAAGCTTCATTATTTCATCACCATTAAATACTGTCCCTTGATCTACAGTAATTGTTTGTGGAAAACCAAATTTATGCACTGTGTTTCTTGATAAAATCAATCACATGAGGCTGATTTGCCACCTTCAGTGGGGCTAATGAAACCAGTATTTAACAACCTCTCAATTTCATCTTTTACCATGAGAGTAACCACATTTGTCATTCTTCTTGGAGGTTGCTTGTGTGGCACATAATTTGATTTTATTGGAAGTTTATGTTCAACCAAGGACCTATCTAGTCCTGGCATTTCATCATAACTCCATGCAAAACAATTAGAATACCCTGAAATCAAGCCAACTAGCTTGACCTTTTCATCTCCTAAGTTAAACTTCTCTAAAGGGTTCGACACATCAGCCTTGAGATCTTCAAGCTTTGCAGGGGCTGCCTTTAGATTCTCATACTACACCTCTTTATAATCTATAGGGCTATCATCTACCACACATTTTGCCCAAAAATAGTGGGGCAACATACCCCCTAACCTTCTTTCTAAAAAGAAATTAAAAAGTCTAACAAAAGTACTTTTAATTACATCAGAATCAAATTCATTCTCACTTTTCTTCATCTTCCTTGGTAATGTCTTCAATCAGCACTTCATCTACAAGCCTAGTCTACAAGACATTTGGCCTAGCCACTTCCTGGCTCATTTTGGCTCATCTGTCGAAAACCTTCCCCAACAAATTTTTGGAACTCATCATAAGTCAACCTAATTCCTTTGGATTTTAGTTCTTCATTTTCTAGCACAACAGGGCTAAATTCTTTAGCATACATCATAGCTTCCACATTGTGAATGTCTGCCTTAAAGGGATTTGCTTCTCCCAAAAAACCTCCATGCTTTGTCCTTTTTGACCTTCCATAATTAAGAAAATCAAAGCCTGATGAAGGGAGGAAGGCACACAACCATTAGAGTGACTCCAATCCCTTCCCAGCAGCAGGTTATAATTTGAGGTAGAGTCAATCACAAAAAATGTTGCTCCCATCACTCTAGCTCCCACTTGCAATTACAAAGCAATCATTCCTCTTGTATCAGAAGAACCGCTTGAGAAATCACTCATAGATACATCAAAAGGAATTAAATCATCTATAGTTTTACCAATCACACATAAATTTCTGGTGGGCAAAATATTCCCAATAGCCCCATTATCGATTAACAACTTGGTGAAAGGGCAACCATTCAGGTGTGCACTCACATACAAAGTCCTCAGATGCATTACCAATTCTGGCTTAGGTGACTGGAGTACCACCTTCTCACCACTACCAGTTTTAATCACCTGAATGGACTTACTAGCCACTTCTTTAGACTCAACCATCTTTGTTACCATCACAGCAGGCTCTGACAAGTCTTCGACATCCCCCTCCAATTGTTCTAACTGCCTAAGCCTTGCTTTAAACCTTTTTGGTAAAGCCAAAATCATATTACAATCAATGTTTAAAGGCAAAGAACCAAACCTAATTGCCTCTACCTTTTCACTAAAACCCTCAGAACTTTCAGATTTTGTATCTTCCCTTTTGCCTTCCTTACTGTCGACAAGAACCTCATCTAGTTTGCCTGTCACAATACTTCTATCAGTCATTACCTCATCCTCCTCACTCTCCTCATCTAACAGGAGTGCTTTAGATATTTCCTCCAATTGCCTCCTAAGGAGGACCTTCTTAGGTTTCCTATCTACCATTTCCTCTATCTTGCTTGACTCACCACCCTCTTTCTTATTCTTTTCTCTCCCAAATCAAATTGTTTTGATCCTCTCTTTGGATTATCTCCCTCTTTTGTTGAAAACATAGCATGAAACTTCCTTTGCTCCCTCTTCACCTGAGTCTTAGTTGGGCCCATATGCTTCCATCCTGACAAAGGGAACTTTGGGTGAACCACACCTTGCCAACCAGCATGTGTAGGCATTGATGGCTTCACCATCCTTGGCTGCATTGAGGGATAAGCCTGTGGAAACCTCACCCATTGGCTATGAATCTATCCTGGCCTGAAAAACCGTTGACCTTGGCCAATAAATGGCATTTGAAATGGCCTTGGTACAAATACTGGTCTCTGAACATGACTAGGGCCAATAGATAGCCTCTGATCTCTCATCTATCTTATTTTAACTCTGACTCCTTCTGAACCTTGAAGAGAAGGATACACAGGTTGCCACCTAATAAGAATGGACCATCCTTCTCACTATATGATCTGTCGACAGGCCCAAAAATTCTAAGGTCCTGCCCATCAAACAACAACTAGTCTCCATTGAAAATTTGAGGTCACCCCCCCAAAGGTATTGAACCTTAAGCCATGATCCTTCACAGTCTCTTTCAACTTGTTAGCTAAAATTTCTTGCAATTTTCCTTTTCAGTTCAACATCTTGTCCATGCAAACTTGTCTTCATCAATCACTTTCTTTCCCTTCTTCTGCTTCTCCTTGTGAATCCTTTCCAAATCAGAAACCAAAATAGTTAGGTTTGGTGTCTTCTTTTTAATGCTAGCTAACACCATATGGATTGGTGCCATCTCTGGAAAGGAATTTCTGTCCATTGCCATAACTCCCTTTTCATTTTCTGCATATTTCAACAGTCCCTTTTGTATTAAATCCTGCACACAATTTCTGAAATTTACACAATTGTTGGTAGAATGTCTAAAAGTGTTATGCCATTTACAATATGTTTTCCCTACTCTGTCTTTTTTTGGAATTCTATGCCCAGGGGACAATGTTAAAAACTTATTAGCTAACAACTCATCAAAAATGGCATCAGCTTTTGACAAATCAAAAGAATACTGCCTAAATGTGGGGTTTATGTTTCTTTTGGCTGGCTGATTTGCTGGCATGTTCACTGGTTTGCCCAGTTTCCTCAAAGTTCCACAAATCACTGGTGTTTTGCCAACCACTTGACCCACATCAACATCAATTTCTATTTCCACATCAACTTCTTGGAAATAAGTTCCATAAGAATTTGCATTCCTATGTCTCTCCTCTCTAAGAATTGACTCATATCTTGTTGCCCTAGATGACTACTCAAACAAGTCCCTAAACATGTTCACTGGCTTGCCCACTTTCCTCAAAGTTCCATAAATCACTGGTGTTTTGCTAACCACTTGACCCACATCAACATCAATTTCTATTTCCACATCAACTTCTTGGAAATAAGTTCCATAAGAATTTGCATTCCTATGTCTCTCCTCTCTAAGAATTGACTCATATCTTGTTGCCCTAGATGACTACTCAAACAAGTCCCTAAATTCCATCCCTTCAAATTTCTTTCTTAACTCAAATTCCAGCCCATTTTGAGCCATTCTTATAATTTCAACTTCAGGCATACACATTCGACACTTGTTTTTTGCTCTCTTAAATCTGTTAATAAATTGTTTTGCACTCGTAAAAAACTTTTACCTCATTTCGGATAAATCAACCAAAGTTACTTTTGGCTCAGTTCTATAAAACTGAGCATGAAACTTACTCTCCATTTCTACCCAAGTATGAATTGAATCAGCAGGCAAATTAATGAACCATGTGAAAGCAATCCTAGACAGAGAATGTGGAAATAACCTCATTTTAAGTATGTCATTATTTCCTGCTTTTCCACATTGTAGAGTAAACCTCCCTATGTGTTCAATTATTGATTGGTTTTCCTCACCATGAAATAAGGAAAACTTAGGGACCCTGTTGCTCCTAGGAAAAGGTTCATCATCTACCCATTGAGGGTATGGTTTCCTAAACCTAGGCCTTTCAAGCCTTTTCACCCCTGGACCATAAAGGTCTTGAACAATCTGAGTAATTTGATCTCTGAAGATTTTCACCATGATTAACAGCATTTTGCCCCCCATGCCCATAATTATTCTCAAGAAAATCATGCCTGTCGACATGTAAAGGGGGTGCTCGACCCCTTGGCCTTGGGCCATTACCAAATGGTTCATGATACATGTTAGGCCTGTGTATTTCAGGATATGCTCCCATATTACCATCATTATTTACACCTTGGTCTCCATAACCGATATTATATCCAACATTTTGATTCCCAAAACCTTGATTATAATTTTCAAAACCCATATCATTTCTTGGCCTCATGATAGGATAACCATTAAATTCCGTGTTAAACAAATCTTTGTCTCCTACCCCTCTTTGGCCATATAATGGATTAGAAAAAACATTTGACCCAGGATGCCCCCCAGGCTATTTTCCTTGAATTTTAACATTTGGGGTTTGAAATACCTCATGCATTCTTTCCTCTGCAGTTGGGTCCCTATAAAAGGACATTGGCTCACTAGCAGGTTGCTGTGGCACACCAGTTGGTGGCACCATGTGTGTTCTTGAGGTCACCTTCTATGCCTTTGCTTCAGTCTGGCTTGCATGCTCCATCAATGGAGCTTTCAATACACTCCTCACTTCTCCCAGTAGGATTTGATTCTCTTCTAATGACTGGTTTGCTAGCGCATCCCTTATTTGAGCCATCAGAACCCCTGTTGGAATTTTGGCATGGCCACTTACCAGGCTTCCTGTACCCACTGATTGGCCATCCATATGGCCTTTATAGGTCATTGCCTGGCCTACATGCTGAACACCACCATCATCAGCAAAGACCAAGTCCTTGTCCACTTCTTCTTCTTCAAACTCAGCAGGTCCTTTTCAGCATGCTTATCAACCTGTTTCTTAGCCTTCACCATTTCTTGTCCAAATTATGTAAGATTGTCCCACTAGGCGTGCCAAAAATTGTTAGTAAAAATTATGCTAGGGCTAGATCGACAGCAACCAAGCAATAATCCAAACTACACAACTTAAATAAAAACAATCAAGCAATTGTGGTTCTGGTTCCAATGTCTCAAAAAACTAAGGACTTTTCTGGACTAAACAGTGACATCAAAGTAAACAAGAAGGAAAACAAACTTTCTTGATCAACAGATGGTGACAAGGTAGATTGAATAAAAGGAAACAACTTCAAATTACTGTATCAACAGATGGTAACAAAGTAGATTAAATGAACAGAAGCAATTTCATACTGAAATCACCTATGCTCACTCAACAAGTACAAATTACAATTATAGATACTACTCCTAAATTACAATTTCAACTACTCCTAAGTGTAAAATTAAGTTGTTGTGCTGTTGTTGATGTCCCCCCATTTTTGCCAATATCTGGCATTTATACTTCTTCTTCCACACGCCCCCATGATCTCCCTAATCTGCAACTGCTGCTGTGTAACTGCTGCAACTACTCCCTGGCTTCTAGGCCTTTCAATTACATTAATCCTACACTTCTGTCTGTTGATCTACCTCTTTTTCAAGTTATTTCATGCCCACAAACTCTTTTAACCTTCTCTCGACAGAGAAAAGCTCCTACTTTGTCTCATGCTTTCTGTTGAAAGGCTGCCCACTAACTCCATGATTGCTGCCAGTAATTGTTCCATGACTTATAGTCAACCCATATGCAAAAACCCACTTTCAACTGTTAGTCATGATCCTCTAATGCTGGACATCCACTCTAGACTTGGCCACGTGTCCTCCACTAACTAGACCACCTGTCGACAGAACCTAGCAAAAATAAGTGCAAACAATGAGAAATAGTACGAATTGATGAGAAATGGAACTCTGTTATTTTAAAGAGTTTATTTCTCACCAAATGTGGTGAGATAACAACTGCCTTCGTTTCGGATGTGGGTTGGTGTTTTGACTTTTTTAATCTGGGGCTAAAAAGCCTCGTTTGGGATGGGCTTTTTGGCTTTTTTGACTTTTGTGAGAGAAAAAATTAAATGATTATGGTTTGAATGTGACATTTTGTCTTATTAGTTTTTTAGCTTATTTTGTCTTTTTGTGGCTAAAATTGCCCCAACCCAGCCCAACCCAAACCTTCATGCCAAACGAACCTTAATTGGTTGTGTAATTTTCTGAGATTGCCTATTAAAATACATAGAAATAACAGCAAATTCCATTAGCGTTCTCTATAATTTAAGACTTGTGTCACTTTGGTTATTAATTTTTTAATTGTGATATGTTTGATCCTAAATTTTGAATTTTGTTCCAAATAATAACAATCAAAGAAGTTTTCTTTGCAAATAGTTCATTTCAAGGGCAAAATTGTCATATAACTTATTTTGTATTAGTTAACTCGTATATTGTTTGAAATGTAATGGCATTTTTTTTAATGAATAATACTGCAACTTTCTTGGTTATAAAGTTATGTTTGGTTTGGTTTTTAAAATCTATTTCTAGAAAATTTTTCTAAGAAATTAAAAATTAAATTAGTGAATTTTTTTTTTTGAAACACATCATTTTTATGTAATTTTATCTTTTGGGAGGGTAGAAATAAGTTTTTAAAATAATTTTTTTTGATATTTTTTTTGTTAAATTAGTTTTTATTTTTCCAAAAGTCAAATATGACAACAAATTTGATGTCATTATTAAACTAATCCATTAAATAAAAAATCCAAAACTAAAAACATTTCATATATTAAACATATCGGTTATACATTAAAAGAGTAATAATCATCCATTATCTGATAATCATCCAAAAATATTTATTAACAACAAATACAACCATCTATTACATGATAACCTTCAAAAAATATCAACAAAAACAATCACCCATTATATGATCATCATCCAAACATATATTAAAAGTTAATTTAGGACTTGTTTGGGGTATGCTATATAAGTACACTTTTTATTTTTTTGAGTCATAATACCTCTTTACTTTTCTGCACATCTTTTCGTAAAAAGTCAAAAAATGTACTTATTTAGATCATCCCAAACAACCCCTTAGTAAAAAATAAAAATATAAAAGATTTATCATTTTTATATAATTCAAAAATATTTTTTTGACATTTTTTTGGGATCAAATTAGTTTATATTTTATCAAATTGATAACTTTACCCTTGAAATGGAGTAACTAAATTAAAAATTCAGGGTCAAATGTATCACAATTGAAAGATCAGAGACCAAAGTGACACAAGCCCCAAACTATAGAGACAGTTAGTGTAATTCGCCCTAGAAACAAATTTAAATTCTACCAATATCCCTACATGACATACTTTGCTCTTTTTACCCATCTAAACATGATAGTGAGAAAACATAATCAAATTTTTCTTCTTCTTTTCTCACGTAGATGAGAGACTATAATAATTTTTTTTTCTCAACTTATGATCCAAACGGTGTGTTACTTGTACTTTTACTCAAAGTGGAAGTTTGAGTAAAAAACTTCATTTGATATGAAGCACTCCAATGGATAAACTCAAATTTGAGTAAAATTTCTAAGTGCCAAATTTTGAGTGGATGCGCTAGGAGTTGGAGTCTATGAAGCATAGGTATGGGTACGGATACGGGTATAGGTACGATGTGGGTACTCTGATACAGAAAATTCTTAAAAAAGTATGGTACGGGTACGGTTGGGATACGTCAAATTTTTTAATTTTTTTTTAAAAAAAATTTATAGCTAAACATCCAACATACAAATCAAAGTTTCAATATTAAAACTAAAAAGAGAACTTGTCTACAAAGCTGTATAATTATTTCTTTTTCTTTTTTGATTGTCTAAAAAAGGATACAAAAGAGAGCAAACCATGACTCATTGGTAAAGGGTGTAGAAACAAATTACTTGATATTTTCAAAATTGAAAGAAGAATAATAAAGGCTGCAATAAATTCTAGCATTTGCAGAAAAAAAAAAAAAATCATTTTGCCGTACTGGTGCTGTACCCAAATGTATTTGCTGTATCCGGCATGTATTCGGCATACCCGGTACTCGTACCGCTATACCTGCACCCAATAAGTACCCAATACTCGTACGACACCATTTTTTAAGTACCTGTGCTTCATAGGTTGGAGTAAAGGACAATTAGGAGAAATTGGAAAAGTTGGGTAGAAGATCCGATGTTTCAAGTTTTGATTGGATAAAAATTTGAGTAAATGAAACGGGTAGAGTCAAATTTTGAGTAAAACTCAATGTGGTATTGGTTAGTGGAGGGGATTCTAGTGGTTTTTAACTGAAATTTAAATTTGAGTCAAGATTTGGGAAGGGTTAGAGATGACTTTAGAGCATCTCCAATTTTTCATCAAATTCAGATTTGATGAAAAAAAATTGCTGAAACTGTATGCTAACCATTTCATCAAATTTGTATCAAATCAAGGGAGAGGCAATTTTTTCACCAAATCAAGGATGAACAAAATCCTTCGCCAAGTTTTCAACTATCATATTTTTACTCAAATTTGATGAAATTTTAAAAAGAGTTAGGATTGGATATGGTTTTCTTTCATAAAAAATGGTTAAAAGAGATTTTTAGGCTAAGTTTGGAATTTTTCAAAAAGATTTGATGAAAAAGAGAGTAAAGATTGGAGTGTTCCATACCATATCAAGTTTTTAACCAAATTTTCAATCAAATGTGATGAAAAGAAAGAGTGAGGATTGGAAATGCTCTTATCATCCTTTTAATAAGCTTGTGTTCTGAACTTATGGTATGTGGTTTTGGCTTGCTTTATAGTTCTTTTGTTCAACTTCTTTGGCCTGTAACCTTAATTTTAATGGGTGAGTTGTTTTCATCTCACACCTCTGTTTGGTTCTTGAGAAAAATGAGGAAAATGAGAAAAGCGTCCTATTGTAAAAGAAATCAATTTATAAAACCATATTCTCATAGCCTTGTAAAAGTACTTGTACTGCTTTTCCGTGTGCAAAACTGATTTGATTTTGTGTATCATTGGTACTTCTACTTTTCTGTCTTTCCAGTGAGTGACCTTTTTTCTCCCTTTTCAAATGCATTTCATCTCTAAATTCTTTCCTATTATAATCAAATTTGGATTTGAAATCGATGCTTTGGTTCTAATTGGAATTTGTTTGTGAATATTCGTTGATTAGGAAGATACCTTAGGCATTTGGGATATGAAGTCAATTATGTTTGTAACTTCACTGATGTCGATGACAAGGTTAGTAGTTGAATTGCTCCAACAACATTGAGGTTGCATGTGGATTTATGGATTTTACTCTTTCAAGGAGTGAATCTTTTAATTCAATATGGTCTTTTAGATCCAGATTTTAAGAAGAGATTTGAGAGTTTTAGATTAATGAATTTGAAATAACTTGGCGGATGTTATTATTTGAAATCATTCAGTGAATGATTCTACTTGTACAAGAAGTTTTACAAAATGTATTCACTTATTTCTCTATTTAACCAGCCACTTTACACGTATCAACCTATTTCCAATATTTAACTTCCTACAATTTCATGAAGTTTAACATCCCTTTATTGCAAATCCTTTCATTTAGATGGAGTTTGAAATCATAAATTTAGAAATCCTTTTCCTTGTCTAGTACGTGCTTAATGAGAAATTTTTTCCAAGTTCATAGAGTTTTCCATGATGGCTTGCTTTCAATAATTGTATTCGGAAGTTACTTTTAAGGAAATATATAATGGCTTGTTTTCAATAGAGTTTTCCATAATATTTGCCGAGGGCTTGTGCATCCTTGGGGATTAGTTGGGCTTTGGTTCGGACATCCCAATGCCAATATAAAAAAAAAAAAAAATAGAGTTTTCCATAATATTTTTATCGCTGCTTACACAGAACTTTTAATGAAGGAAAATTCTTATATACACACACAAATCTACATATTATATGCACCTCTACTTTTACCAAAGTTACCACAATGGGGTCGTAACCAACACCATTTTGTTACATAACCAAACACCACAATGGATCGTAACTAAGTTAACAACTTTGATTTGGCAATTTTTTAATCTCAACTAAACACCACAATAGTTAGTAATTGAGAGGGTAATTTTTGGTAAAAATTGGGCCGAGTTATGTGATGGGCCTTGTGGCCAAAATTGCCAAGGGCTAGGTAAAAAAGGCTGCAATGTTACCCCAGCCCAGGAGAAGTGTAGTTACTCCGGCTCAAGAAGGGATAGTTGCTTCGGCCCAAGGAAGAGTAAAGTTACTCCGGTCCGGAGGCAACTTGGAGTTAGGCCGGTCTCAGAGTTAGTCCGGTCGCAGTATGTTCTGGGTAGGCCGGTTTCAGAATTAGTCCGATGGCAGTTTGAAGTAAGTCCGACCTTGCATTTTAGTCCGGTCGTGACATACTATGGTTAGGACGGTCAGAACTTGCTACTTGGAAGTTTGATCCAAACACACCAAGGTTGAACAGGGGCAGCCGAGGTAAGGAGTTAGAAGAGAAGACCGAGCTAAGGACAGTTCGGCCCTCTGTGGCTCGGCATAGCCAATTTTACTTCGGTCACATGGAAGTTCGGCCATGGAGAAAACCATCCCACTTGGTTTAAGCAGTGGGGGAGGGTGTAAAAGGATAAGCATTATCCTTTGGAGTATGAATCCTAGGAGGACTCTGCATGGAGAAATACAAGTCCTACCAGGATTGTGCCACGGGAAACTTATAAAAGCCCACAAACATCACCTTGGAGGAGGTAATTGAACACAATTCTTTCTGAGAACATAAAACTTTGTCTATTTGTCAAGCTTACTGACTTAGGCATCGGAGAGGTTTCCGGCACACACCCGCCGGCTAGCTCACGTTTGTGTTTTCAGGTAATAAAGCGACGTCGTACGGAGGAGCGTGGACTGGGTCAACAGGATTATACGAGGAGAATTATTTCCTCCCCGTACAGTAATCAACACCAATTTAATATGTATGGTGTGTATTTTAGCATGACCTTGATGTGTTATGGATATAATTTTGTTTAGTATTTCCACATATGATCTAATTCTATATGTTGCTCCTACTTTTGTCTGCTTGAAGTCAAGATATTGAAAATGCTTTTAGATTTGAACTTTTCTTTGTTGCTGAGTGTCATTTCAAGACAATTAGTAGTATGCTTGAGTTTTTCCTTCAATTGTTAGTTTCGGTGTATATCCTGCTACCCTTGAATGGTGAGGTCCATGGTCCAAGTGTGACTTGGGAGAAGTGTGTATGTCTTACTAGTCTGAATAGCTGCAAATAATAGAGCATGATTTAGAGACTATGCTGGCTAGTGAGCTTAGAACAACAAAGCGATATAATGTTTCTACATAGATTGCTAGATAGTTATTAAATGATATTTAGGTTTCATCTAAGGAAATGCCTAAAATTTAGTTGTTTTTAGATCTGGATTACAAAGAAAGAAGTCTGAAAAATACTATCCTTTATGTAAGATGTGGCAGTAGAGGGATCAGAAAGTACTGCAGGGAATTGAAAAGTCCAGCCCATACTTCTCCTTAAAACCCAGGTATTAAGGAGAGGAAAACTGAAACCTTATAACTAGCATAGATGAGGCAACTCCAGGCCATGTGCGACACGCCGGACAAACGACACATCAGTCACAGGCCCAACCAAGATCTGATATCAAATTGAATGAAAAGAATTATTTGACTTACCAATCAATGAGGTAGAGGCCATGTATATATAATATATTCATGATATAATTTAAGAAACTATATATACAAGGTAAGATTTCTATAATGGAAACAATATACACAAGGTAAGATTCCTATAATCAAAATAATTCCTATAATCAAAATAATTCCTATTCTTGCCTTGTGTATATTGTTTCCATTATAGGAATGTTACCTTGTGTATATTGTTTCCATTATAAGAATCTTAACTTGTGTATATACACAAGGTAAATTGTTTCATGAGAATCTTACCTTGTTTATATACACAAGGTAAATAATTATGTAACAATGTATATAAGAATCTTTTATATAGATCTTACCTTGTTTATATACACAAGGTAAATAATTATGTAACAATGTATATAAGAATCTTTTATATAGGAGGAGAGAAAATTAAGTATGATAATTCTAAATATGGTAATGAATATAATATGGTATGTATGATAGATAGAATATATAGTTACTATATTTAACACCTCCCCTCAAACTCAAGTAGGGATACCAACTTGTATTTGAGTTTGGAGAGAGAAACCAAAATATGAAATAATTCACTACAACAAAAGTAACCTATGGTGACGAAAAGTAGTGAAGAAAATAAATTTCGTCACTAAATAAGAATAATTCATGATGAATTATAAAATTTTGTCGCATATAATAAAAAAATAAAAATAATTGGTGACGAAATTTATTTTCGTTAATAAATACTTCTTTTTAGGTGAGGAAAAATTAAGTTTCGTCATCAAAAGTTTTTCCGCTAATTTTTTTGGGTGGCGCCAAAATTTTGAGACTTTTGATGAGAAAAAAATTTGTCACTAATTATAAAATTATTAGTGAGGAATATATTTTTATCACCAATAATTTTACATTTTTTTTTTTGAAAAACTTGATTTAAAAAATTTAAGATTATTTGGTGAGAAATATATTTTCGTCACTAATCAACTTGTTTGGTTCTGGTTTTCAGAAAATTCTACTTTTTTTATTTTTCATATTTTAATATTTTCAATGATTTTTTTTAATATTTTCAGCTATTTTTTTTAAAAATTTTTTACACACGCCTAACATAAATATACTTAAAAAATATAATACACTACTAGAAAAGAGAGCTTTAGCCACGGAACTTTTTGCGACGGTTTAAAAATTGTCACAAAAATAGGCTTTTGCGACGGTAATAAAATATGCCGCGAAATCATTTTTTTTGCGATGGCAAGTGATTGTAGCCAAAAAGGCACCAGGTAAATATTATTATTAGAGACGGACAACCCACAATCGTCGCAAAAGGGTTTTTTTTTCATTTTGTTAATTTGCAACGACCTTTCAAACCGTCACAAAAACTTAATCCTCTAATTTTCCACTTTCGCACCACATATCTCTCTCTCTCTCTCTCTCACACACACACACACTGAATTTTTTAAATATTTTCAGCTATTTTTTTTAAATTTTTTTTACACACACCTAACATAAATATACTTAAAAAATATAATACACTACTAGAAAAGGGAGCTTTAGCCACGGAACTTTTTGCGACGGTCTAAAAATTGTCACAAAAATTGGCTTTTGCGACGGTAATAAAATATGCCGCGAAATCATTTTTTTTTGCGATGGCAAGTGATTGTAGCCGAAAAGGCACCAGGTAAATATTATTATTAGAGACGGACAACCCACAACCGTCGCAAAAAGGTTTTTTTTTCATTTTGTTAATTTGCAACGACCTTTCAAAACGTCGCAAAAACTTAATCCTCTAATTTTCCACTTTCGCACATCTCTCTCTCTCTCTCAAACACACCTATCCCTAATATTTCAGTCTTCTCTCTCCTGTCCACCCCTAATTTCACTCTATCCCTCTCACACCACTACAACAAAAGTAACATATAGTAACAAAAATTAGTGAAGAAAATAAAATTTCTCATTAAATATGAATAATCCGTGAGAAATTATAAATTTCGTCACATATAATAAAAAAATAAAAATAATAGGTGAGAAAATTTATTTTCATCAATAAATACTTCGTTTTAGATGAGGAAAAATTAAGTTTTGTCACTCAAGGTTTTTCCAATTTTTTTTTTTTGGGCGCCAAATTTTTGAGACTTTTGGTGAAAAAAATAATTTTATCATCAATAATAAAATTATTAATAAAAAATATATTTTCGTCACTAATAATTTTTAATATTTTGAGATTATTTAATGAGAAATATATTTTATTCACCAATAATTTTTAATATTTTTAGACTTTTTGGTAAAAAAATAATTTTGTCACCAATCTTGAAAGGATACTGGGATATCGAGCGAGAAAAAATACAACTTCTTTTGTGTAGAAAGCTAGGGTTTACAAAATCGTTTTAGGCATATTACCTACACTAGAAAGCTCTCTCTCTCTCGCTTTGTCTCCATCACCGTCGGGAACAGGAGCACCACCGCTATCGCACACAAGCACCACTGTCGATCCACCATTGGAGCATTACCCAGGTATGCCCTTTCTATTTCGCCCTCTCTGTCTCCCTATCTCTGTCTCTCTCTATCTTCTTCCATTCGCATGGCTTCACACAAACCCAGTCCCAAATCGACCCACCCACCGCCATTGAGTTTAATACAGATTCCTTCTCCACCGGGAACAACCACCATCGGCTCTCTTTTCCCTTTTACTCATTCTTTCCCCCACTCTCTGTCTCTCTCTCTCTATATATATACACACTATATAATTGCTATATGAATTTGGCTATGGTGAGAGTATGTGGATGACCTGTTCGATGAAATTCCAAAATGGGTTTTGAATTAGAGAAATTATGATAGTCTGTTAAATGAACTGCGTTTGGACTGATTGTCTTTTGATCATATTAAAAGATGTTGGAAATAAGAAGAATACAAGGAATGTTACTCTATATAAGCGGTATGAATTTATTGCTTTATAGTTCTGTTTAGCTTGTAGTGGACAAGTTAGGTGGATATAAATTATTCTTCTATTGCTGGTAATTTTTTGGGTTTTCTTTGAGCTTCTATTAGTTGTTAGAAAAAGAGTAAGAGACCAGCCAATGCTCTAACAGCACTTAACATGGGAAAATGTGGTTCTACACAGTTGACCTGTTGTGATGTTAATGGTTGATCTTTGTTTCTCAAGTGATCTATTCATCAATCTTGTTAATGGTATCGAAACTAGAGTTTTGTTTATATGTGGTTATTTCAAGTTACATTTCTTTGTTGCTTTGAAGCTGTAATGGTATTGAAGCTGTAATTATTGCCCTGGTGATTAGGTGATTCCATTTTAATTGATTAGTTTTTCTTCTCATATCTAAATAATGTTTTTTTTTCATTTTTTTATCCTCCATATTTTAAAACTTGAACTTTTGTGTGTGTATGTGTGTGTGTTTTTTTTTTTTTTTTTTTTTTTTTTTTTTTTTTTTTTTTTTTAATATTTCTCCATATTTTAAAACTTGAGCTCTTTCCGTTTTTGTTTTTTTTTTTTTTTTTTGATGAAGCAAAATTGTCATCTAGTACCGAAACTGTGAGCTATTTTTAATTATGGTTCTTAATATGAACATACAGGGGCTTATGTTGGTGAAACTGCTTGTCAACAAATATCATCCATATGGTTGTCTTAAATAAAAATGTTGGTGATGCGAATGTATCTTAATTTTGTGTCCTTGGGCGCCCTTGGTTTGAGTCCCTGTACATATGAGGTTTGTATCATTGTCATAAAAATATCCTAATTTTGTTAGGAAATTTGTTGTCTTTGCCTTAGACATTGTAAAATTTAAATTGCATGGTTCACTAAATATCTATCCATATATTATATTTATATAACACAGATTGAGGACTGAGTCATTGGAAACATATAATGATTTATTTAGAAGATACAATGGTTGTTCCTTTAAGTTTTAGCATAAAGTTTTACAGTAGATGTAGGATAGTAATTGGTTGCTTCTGTTTATATCAATAGGATTCAAATGACAATTTCCTTGTCAGGGACTTCAAATGATGGATTGGAAACTCAAAATTATTTTTCGCTGTACATATTATTGGCAAGATCAGTTTCTAATTTTGTAGTTGCAGAGGTAGTAGTGTTTCTAATTAGTCTTTAGTTAAATAAGTCCTTCCCTATCCTTTTTACTTCAGTATATGTTCTGCTTTCCTTGATGTCATTTGGGGATAGTATTCTACGGGCATGTATCTTGACTATTTCTACTTGACCTGAGGGAAAGAATCAAGCTGAAGCAAGTTTTATTCTTCCTGAGTTTAACAAGCTAGCAGCGGAGGTCAAATTGACTGTATGATCATAGTCTGGGTGAGTACAATTTCTGCTAGCTACTCCAGAATTTGGTCATAATCCTATAGCTTACCTCCAACTCGAGAACCAATATGAGACATGCTTGTAAAAGTTTTGACTAAATTTTTCTAATTTTTAAAATTGTATAGTCAAAAAATGGACCTAAAAAGTACATAGATATTTTTTTTGACTAGTATGGTCCTTCGGCACATCAATCTCAAATGTATGAGATCCTTTCTCAGAAAGAATGTAACTCATGTCTGCAGTTTCCTTAGCTGCGTCATCTCCTAAGAAGCATGGACACGGACACGTGACACGACACGAGTACGACACGGACACGTCGACACGTTAATTTTCAAAAAATGCAGGACACGACACGAGGAGGACACGCATGAAATATATAATTTTATATATTTATTATATGTTATATATATATATGAATATATCATTCAAAGATAATAAAAAATGCAATATGACACTAATTCTTATAAATTTATATGGTTTTTATTTTATTATTGTATCTTAAGTTATTTTGTTCAAACATAAAATTAGTTTTACGTATGTCTAATCGTTAGACACGTGTGTTTAAACGATTGACACGTGTGTCCTTCAAGTGTCCAAAGAGTGTCCAAGTCTTTAAACAATAGGACACGTTTTGAAGAGTGTCGGACACGTGTCCTGAGAGTGTCCAAAGAGTGTCGGTGTCCGACACGTACCCGACACGGATACGTCACCTTCCTAGAAGTGTCCGTGCTTCTTAGGTCATCTCTCTCTTTATCAAATTGAGTAACTGTTTCCTCTCTAGCAATCCTCCTAATTATTGTACGATGATCAATTCCTTCTTCACTTGACAAGTGCCTCTGTAGACTACCGTTAGTAGAAGGTATTCCTAACCAGGTATAATTCTTCTTTTGCACAACCAACAAAACTTGGATTAGACAAAACTGCATCAATCACAATCTTCCCCCTCCTCAGACTTGCAAATGGACGAACTTGTAGTTTTACAGTAGGGACCTCCCCGCAAGAGAACTCTTCATTATGAGGCCCAATTGAACAAGACTCCAAGGTAATGGTCAAAGGTGAAATTTGCCGAACCTTACCAAAATCAAGCTCGCGCTGAATATACTCACTCAGAACCGAACAAACAGAAGGTAAAAGCTTCGCTTCGACAAAAGTCTTGGCTTTTGCCTTCCCATACCAAACCAATAAGCACACCCCAGATATCACGGCAAAAAAAATAGAGCACCTGATTAAAAGCAACCCTTCTTCCCACAACGGAACCAAAGACCTAACCAGAGCTTTGTCAGCAGAAAAGGGCTTTGTTACATGTTTGCAAATGAAGATCAACTGTTGAATTTTTTTTTTCTTGAACTGATACTTAGTTCTAGTTGCAAATCAAGATCGAGTGTTATTTTTATTTTGGACTCAACGTTAGTTCGTTTTGGAATTTGCTATGATGGTTTTTTGTTTATTATACTTAATGGATTATTTCATTTGTTTCATGGATATATTTTCATTTATAATATAAATTGTTTAGTGAATTTTTTTGTGGAATGGTGTATAATAGTTAGTGGATTTATTAATACATTGAAAAGACTATTGAGATATGAGCAGGGATATTTGTGAAATAATAATTTAAATTGGAATATAAAATATGGAACAAGTTCAATGACGAATTTTTTTCGTCATTTATACTTGTTATTATGACAAAGTGATTATTTGTCGCTAATAAATATTTTTTGTGACAAAATTTATTATAGCCTATATATGAAATATTTGGTTCATTTTGTTGTTCGGTGACTAAAAATTTCGTCACGTATATATATATTTGTGACGAAATATATTTCGTCGCCCATGTATGACTTTTGGAGACAAACAATTTCGTTACCTTTACATCTTACTGTGACGAAATTATTTCCTCATCAATGATCAACATGTGTGACAAATTTATTCGTCAACTAAAGTTATAAATATGGTACTGAATAATTATTTGGTGACGAAAATGAGAATTTTTGGCGACAAAATGTTGTTTTATTAGTGACAAAAATTTTCGTCACTGAAGTAATCTCATTGGTGACGAAATTATTTTTCGTCACGGTAGTTTTTAGTGACAAACATTCAATGACGAAACCGGTGACGAAAATATTTCCTCACAAATATCTATAGTGACGAAATTAGCTCTTTGGAGACAAAAAAATTTCGTCAACTAAAAATAAAATAAAAGGCAAATAGATTGCAAAGTTTGAATGGGAGCGCAAGGGCACTTGAGATATATCAGAGGCTGGGGCTAATACCAGGATAGTTTAAGATCATGCCAGACTGTTGTAGGAACTGACCGGAATCAATGTCAGGAGAGTTTAAGGGGTCATGTCGGACCGTTGTAGGAACTGACCGGAATCAATGTCAGGACAGTTTAAGGGGTTATGTCGGATTGTTGTAGAGACTAACTGGAATTAGTGTCGGGACAGTTTAAAGGGGTCATGCTGGACTGATGTAGAGAACTGGATGTTGAACCAAGAAGTGTGGCACACACATAACTTATGACATGGTGCTGAACAATAGTGGCAACAGATGACTGAGTGTGCCAAGGGGCGACTTATTAGAAAGTGCACCAGAGGGCGGCTTGGGTTGTGCATCAGAGGGGGCGGCTTGGATTGTGTGCTAGAGAGGGTGGCTTGGATTGTGCGCCAGAGAGGACGGCTTTGGTGGTGCGCCAATGGGTGACTTAGGTGGTGCGCCACGTGGAGCGGCTTGAGTTGAACACCACCACAGGGGACAACTTAGGCAGTTTGTATGGTGTATAATCATATTCACCATGATATAGGTATAATACTTGCCCTCAAACTCAATTAGGTTTGAAAATAGAAACCTATTTGAGGTTAAAGTAGAAGGAAAGACAGAGTGGAGTAAAAGTGCGGGCACACACACACACACAAAAAAAAATGGATTGCAATTGCGAGTAAAAAAAAAAATATGATAGAGATATTTGGGGTAAAAATAAACGAGCGGACAGAGGAAGAGATCACCACGAGGCGATACTGAATGGAAAATATGACAGTGGAATAAGATGAGGTCCGGCGGGCAGCCAAGGCAAGGCCCACCGGTGAAGCGAAATTACTAGGTACTTGACTCTGATACCAAATTGAAAAGTCTAGCCCACACTCTCCTTAAAACCTAGTTATTAAGGAGATGGAAACTGAAACCTTATAACTAGTACATATGGAGCAACTTCAGGCGATGTGAGATACATTCCAACACAGGGAAGGGTCAATTCCTCTACCATAGAACCAATGCTTCAATACCCAAGTTAGGATGAAGCTATAGTTTAAATCTGAAGCTTCTTCAACCAGGAAAAAATGTCTCCCCTTAACTCCAACCCCCATTTTTTTTTTTAATATGCATATTTCAAGTTTACTAGGGGCCACTACAGAATACTGCATATAAACCCCATAAAATGAGATAGTTTTGTTGCATCCCAAGAACATAGCTTTCAAACGAAAAGACTGAAAATCCAACTACTGAAAATCTCAACATCAATACTCATAAACTTCTCATTAATTTGGGACTTCTTGTAATGGACCAACAGTTTTTGTCATGCTCTTGTTGTGTAACGCAGGAAGATAGTAAAGGGCCCATGAGGTATTGAAATTAGTACAATAACTAGAGTTCAGCAAAAATAGTTGGCACCATATATATTATTAAAGGTGAAGCAGATTCATTAAGCTGATATAAATAGTCCGGAACCATATAATTTGGATTCTGTTAAATTTGAATTAGGTTTGGCCTCAGCTAGTGGTAAACAAAATCATTTCCAGGCTAACATATCTGAACTAAAGTAGGAGCTGAATGCTCTTGTTCTGTAACAACTGTAAATTTGATAACTTTGTTGCTAATTTTTTCCCTTATAGGACGCCTCGTCTATGCTTGTCATTTCTTCAATGAAGCTCTTTTAACAAGTGGAAATTGTTGCATGGTTATTTTTGCTCCGTAAGCCTATTCATTTCATTCTAAATTTGACAGGCTTGTACAGTACTGTGACCTTAAAGTCCTTGATATACACCTTAATCTTGTGTTGATTTTGATTCCAATATTATGATTTTCATGCTGTGGATAATGAAGATGTTCATAGGGTTTGTTGTTATTATGCTACAAGACTGAATTCCAGGTACGAACTGCTTGTTACATAGGTATAAAAGGATAGCTGAGCCTACAATTTTCAAATTCTGTAGATAATTGCCAGAGCAAGTGAACTGGGGGAGGGTCCAATTGGATTGAGCAGATGTTATTGTGAGGAGTTTCATCAGGATATGACTCATCTTTACTGCTTATATTCTTCTATGGAACCTCGTGTGTTTGAGCACATGTCCCAAATTATTGATATGATCAAGCAGGTATTCTAATTATATATTATGTATGGATTTGATGGTCTATGTGCCCTTGGACATTGTCTCTAGTGGTAGAAAAAGCGTGGGGTTAGGATGAGTTGAGGGGAGGGTGGGGTGGGTCTTGGGTTTGAATTTTTTCCGCGAACAAAACAAGGATCTAAGGTTTCATGGTTAGTAGTTGAAAGGAAAACTGTTTCTTTCACCCTGCAGCTTGGCATTTTTGTTCTAGAGAGAATTGACACTCAACTATGGTGGGTTTTGTTGCCATTGTTATGGGGTGGATTTTTCTCCTCTCAAGCTCTAAAAGTCTTCCCTGGAAAGCACATCCTTGAGATGATAAGCAGGATATATACTTGTTGTAGGTATAAGTGTCCAACCATGCTGCGTGACATGTCCATGTCAACATCACATGGGCATACTAGGAGAATGTGGCGTTAAGAGTTGTTCTCTTGAGGTGGCATGGGAGCCACTAAAAATATCATAATTATCTGCTATTTTGTTATTTATTTTTTACTCTAAGATAGGGTGCCTCAGGTCAGCAGATGAAATTTTGACTTTTTGGTGCTCTTATGACAGATTCTTGATAATGGTTGTGCCTACAGAATTGAAGGAGATGTGTACTTCTCTGTAGACAAATTTCCAGACTATGGGCAGCTATCTGGGTGAAAATTAGAAGATAATCGAGCAGGTGAACGAGTGGCTGTAGACTTGAGGAAGGAAAATCCTGCCGACTTTGCTTTGTGGAAAGCAAGCATTTGTAGTTATTTATGCATGTGCATATATATTAGCTGCTATACATCAAATCATCCCAACTTGCAAAAATTGACTGCTTATGTGCACCGGTCTGATTTCTAGTTACTTCTTTTCATTAGAATTCAAGCTGATTATAAATAGCCTTTCTTACTTTATGCAACATTTTCAACCAACTATGACTTTTTGAATTTTGGTTGAGTTAGAGCTGGCAATTAAATGTTGAAAACCATCAAATACTCTATGCCACATCTATTGAATAGCAGAACCAATATATTAGGTTTTAGAGTCTTAGAGAAACGCTGTGGACCCAGTGAGAATCAACTACCCTTCTTGTCTAAAGAAAATATCTGCTACATTTTTTTAATCTTCATTTATGTTTATTTTAAGTTAGTATGGTAATGGCCATTTTTATTTTTGTTTTATTTGGTTTAGGAGTATCTAGGTAATTTCCAAATTTGGCATGTGTTGTAGCACGCGTCTCTGGAATCTTATTTTGGGTCATTATATGTCGTTTTTGTTAGGTCAAGGATAGTCTTGATGGTCGAAAAGTCGAGAAATCTTAGTCCTAGTAAGAGTCATCCAAAGGTCTGTATGTATTGATTTATCCCTTTGTTTGCACCACATTTTATTTTTCTGTCGATTGTGGCCTATTAATTATGGCCAAGTTCTACTATGGTTTGTTGATTGAAATCATAACTATTTTTAAAGAATAATCTTGATCACATTTATTGTTATTATTTCTGTCAACAGACATGCTAACGTGACATGACAGATGTGTTAAGGACGGGGCATGATGACATGTTAAATGGAGGACCAAAAAGTTAGCAATTGCAGCAATTTTGAAAGTTAGTTGCTAAGATCAAGGAGCCAAGATCAAATCAAGTACCAAATCTGTAAAATGGTTCCTATCAAACATGGGATATGGATAATGTTGAGAAAATCATGGGCTTAGGTTATCTCTTTTTCTCATGTGGCTGAGCCTATAAATAGGTCAAGAGAGATACAAAGAGGACATCTCTCAAACCTTATTTAGAAAATGTGATATTTATCTAGGAGTAGTTTAACTTAGCATTATTAGAAGTAGA